GTTGCGGTGTATGGGGCCGCGCAACCGGAACTAAAACCAGACTTTTTGGCGGATCTTGTCCGGATTTGCGGATCTGAGCAGCTCCCAATTTTGGTTGGAGGAGATTTCAACATTATTAGAAGGAGAGATGAAAAGAACAATGATAATTTCGACGCTAGGTGGTCGTTTATGTTTAATACCATCATCGAAAGCTTGGATCTTAGAGAGATAGAGCTTTGAGGTCGTAAATTCACGTGGGCTAATGCTTAGAGTCCTAGCAAGTGTTGAGTGGGAACAGAAATTCCCCTTGGTTACAGTCCAAGCATTATCTCGCGGTATCTCTGACCACACACCTCTGCTAGTGGATTCTGGGGAGGCAACACATGTGGGCAACAAAAATACTTTCTCTTTTGAACTTGCGTGGTTTGAAAGAGAAGGGTTCCTGGATCTGATAGCCAAAGAATGGGCGAAAGATGCAGGAGGAAGATCTCCTATTGAGAGATGGCAGAATAAGATTAGGAACTTGAGAAGTTTCTTGCGAGGATGGGCTAAAAATCTTAGTGGGATTTATGAGATTGAAAAGGAGAGACTCCTTACACTTATGCAGTCCTTAGATGTGAAAGCCAAGTCCACTATTTTGCATTCCTCAGAGCTTCATGCTAAAGTTGATGTGGAGATGAGATTGAAAGAGCTGTTGAGGGAAGAGGAGTTGAAATGGGCATTGCGAGCCAAGGTTCGTAAAGTTGTCCAAGGTGACGCCAATACTCAATTCTTCCATATAATTGCCAATGGCAAGCACAGAAAGAAAAGAATCTTTCAGCTTGAGAAAGACGAGGGAACGATCATAGGACAAGATAACCTAAAAAATTACATTACCAATTATTACAAGCAGCTTTTTGGGCCTCCAAAGGATAACTTTGTGTCCTTGGATGAGTCGAGAATTGAGGATGTGCCTCAGTTGGCTGCCGATGAGAATGAGGTATTGATTGCACCATTCTCGGAGAAAGAGGTGTTTGATGCGATTGCATAGATGAAGAACAATAAAGCTCCGGGGCCGGATGGATTTCTGGTGGAGTTTTATAAGAGGTGTTGGCATATTATTAAAGGGGATCTGTTACCGATGTTCCACGATATGTTCTCCGGACAGCTTCAGTTGTTTCATTTGAATTTGGGAACAATAACATTACTCCCGAAGAAAACAGAGGCTGTGAGAATTGAGCAGTTCATGCCTATTTGTCTTCTTAATGTTAGTTTCAAAATTTTTACCAAGGTTGGGACTACTAGACTCACACAGATTGCACACTCTGTGGTGCAGCCGACCCAAACTTCTTTCATGCCAGATAGATACATCCTAGAAGGGGTTGTAGTCCTGCATGAGACGCTCCATGAACTCCATATGAAAAAACTAGATGGGGTTGTTTTCAAAGTGGATTTCGAAAAGGCGTACGATAAAGTTAAATGGCCATTTCTACAACAGGCTTTACGCATGAAAGGTTTCGACCCGGCTTGGAGAAACCAGGTTGAATCTTTTACGCAAAAAGGGAGTGTTGGAATCAAAGTGAATGATGACATAGGTCACTATTTCCAGACACATAAAGGCCCGAGACAAGGAGATCCGATGTCACCTATTCTGTTCAACATCATAGTTGACATGTTGACCATTCTAATAGGTAGGGCAAAGGATGCTGGCCAAGTAGGTAGCCTCGTACCTCATCTAGTTGATGAAGGGGTGTCTATCCTACAGTAAGTTGATGATACTATCCTTTTCATGGATCATGACTTGGCGAAAGCGCGAAACATGAAGCTGGTGTTATGCTTATTCGAACAATTGACGGGGTTAAAGATTAACTTTCACAAGAGTGAATTGTTCTGCTTTGGAAGAGCCAAACAAGAACAAGATGCCTATAAGCAATTGTTCGATTGTGAAATTGGGAGTTTACCTTTTACGTATTTGGGTATACCAATTCACCATCGTAAGCTAACAAATAGAGAATGGAAGTGTATCGAGGATCGATTCGAGAAGAAACTAAGCTGTTGGAAGGGCAAGCTAATGTCGCATGGGGGGCGGTTAATTCTTATTAATTCGGTTCTCACGAGCATGCCTATGTTTCTTTTGTCGTTTTTTGAGATACCAGTTGGAGTTAGGAAAAGACTGGATTTCTATCGATCCCGTTTCTTCTGGCAGAGTGATGATTTAAAAAAGAAGTATCGACTCACTAAATGGGATATTATTTGCCGACCAAAAGACCAAGGGGGTCTAGGGATCGAAAATCTTGAGGTGAAAAATAGATGTCTTCTCAGCAAGTGGCTGTACAAGTTATCTGTAGAGTCGAAGGCCACGTGGGCGCAGATTCTGCGTAACAAGTACCTTCAATCCAAAACTTTGTCACAGGTGACAGTGAGGCCGACGGACTCACCTTTTTGGAAAGGTCTGATGAGAGTTAAATCAGTCTTTTTCAACAAAACAAAGTTTATTATCGGAAATGGTACCTCCACAAGATTATGGGAGGATACATGGCTAGGGGAAACACCTCTCGCGCTACAATATCCGTCTCTTTATAGCATCGTGCAACGGAGAGACGCTCTAGTTGCAACAGTACTTAGGTCCGCTCCCCTCAATATCCAATTTAGGAGAACACTAGCCGGAGCGCGTTGGGAAGCCTGGCTCCATCTGGTGAGAAGACTGATGGATGTGCAGCTTGCTCAACGGCCGGATGCGTTGAGCTGGAAATTAACCAGGAATGGAGAATTCACGGTTAAATCAATGTACTTAGATGTCATAAATTCTAGCTCTATTCCATATTCCAAACATGTTTGGAATGTCAAAGTCCCTATGAAGGTTAAAGTGTTTATGTGGTTTGTACATAAACGAGTCATCTTAACCAAGGAAAATTTGACAAAGCGCAATTGGACCGGCTCTAAGAGATGTAGTTTTTGTGATCAAGACGAGACTATCAAACACCTCTTTCTGGATTGTCCCATGGTGAAGGTTCTTTGGCGGACTGATCACATTGCCTTTAATATTACTCCTCCGAGTAATATCAACACGTTATTTGGGACGTGACTGGATGGGATAGAGACCCAAACAGCTAAACATATTCGTGTAGGAGTATGTGCTTTACTTTGGGCAGTCTGGAACTGCAGGAATGATTTGGTTTTTAACAAAACAACAAATACTCATTTTTTGCAGGTCATCTTTCGAGCTACTACGTTGATCCGTATATGGTCGCTACTCACTCAGACGGAGGCCAGGGAGCATTTGGTTACTGGATCTACTCGATGAAAGATGGTAGCTCGGGCTATATTCAGCCGGTTTGGATGGCGGTCATGTAATAGGATAGGCAATTAGTTTTCCTATCTTTATTTTGCATGCCGGCTGTGGCTTTTTTATCCGCTCTTTGTGAGCCGTTTGGGGACTAGTTTGTAACGGAGTTCATGACCTTTGTTGGACCTATTTGCTTTTAATAAATGTGGCCGTATGGATCTTTCTAATGCAGAGGCCGGGGCTGCGCCCCTTTTCCAAAAAAACAAGACAATATAGCTTAGAAGAAGAGTTTGTGTTATCCACAAGGTACCCTCGGTAGGTCTCTTAAATAAGTTTATAGAAGATGTAATTTCGATAATTAATTTCCGAGATTTTGCTTGCATTATTACGCTGTCTGTTTAAAGGTGTCACCAATCCTTTTGGTCTACTGACATTGTTGTTTGCTATGTAACAATAATGTGTGATACAACAAAAGGAAGAGTATTTGTGAAGCATGCCCATGAGGAATAAAAAGCAATATTTGTAGATTCTTGTAGTTTGTTACATTTTTTGAGGGAATGAGTTTGAACAGTTGCGTTGTAAGCTTGTAAGCAACGAAGTATATATTCGGTTTAAACTGAAAACCGAACCGAATTCACGGTTAACTGAAATTTTGGTAAGCTGTTTTTGGTTGTTAATTTCAGTTTCTACCCTTGTAAACCGAATTTGAAAGTTGGACTTTCGATGTCGGTAGTTGGTGTGTGGTTCCTTTCATGGTTAATGCTCCCTCCTTCCTTCCCAACAGTTGCCAATATAGAACATAAGACGAACGAAAAAGGAATAGGAAAGAAAGGAGGGGTGAAAATAAATATAAAGGGGAAAAGCCAAAAGCAGCATGAAAATAAGAAACAAAAGAAGACAGAAAATGGAAGCAAACAGCAAAACTCAATTGGGCCACCCATCGTTGACATTACTGTCGTCTGTCAATACTACGCAGAATTTCTCTTTGTTGTTAAGAATTAATATGGAGCAGAATTTCTCTCTGTTGACATATATGGAGCAGAATTTCTCTTTGTTGTTAAGAATATAAGAATGTATGCAGCAGAATCATGAGATTAGCAGAATTCAGGTAATGCTTCAGAATAGGTTGTTCAGAATATATGCATGCAGAGAAGGATCATGAGATCAGGGGTACCATTCTGGGGCGACCCTTTCATGTGTTCGAATCGACTACCTAAACGAGGAGGTTTGGGTCGTCATAGTCTAGACAAGAATGTCAACGATGGGTGGTCAAGCCAAAGAGAAATTGACAAACGTACTGAAGCCTCAGGATCGGACAGTAATTAGTCAAAGCTTCTTCTCTCGGCATGCAATGTAATCAGGTCAAGAACTTTATGCTTGGAATCACTGAGCCAGGGGCTTTGTTAAACAAGTTAGGTGAGTACTTCAGTCCATAAAACACTTGGCAATACCACATTAAATGACAAAACAGGACTACACATGAAGCAGAGACTGCAAAATCTTTGCAAACCATAACCAGAACTGCAGGAAGCACAAGAAATCAAGTTTGACACAAATCATATTCACACACAAAAAAGTTTGACACAAATCATGCATCCCAGAAAATACAAGATCTAGGAAACCCCCATCAATTCACATTCTGATTGCAAACTTGATATAGATAGTTCTGCCATGATACATTACATGCAACCATACATAGAGGAGTAAAAACATAGATACTAAATTAGATAGATACGATGATCATTAGCAAGCAACACTAAGTTGTCATGATAATATCTTTGACTGCTTTCAGCTCGGCGGGCAGGAAGCTAGCAGCTAGCTCCCTGAGAACAGATGGGCAGCAATTCTTCAGATGCTCATAACCATCACTTGCCATCATTGCCTCCAAATTGGAAGGACAAGAGAGGAACTCAAAGCAAGCCTCCTTGACCGTATTGAAGCTATGCTGTTCAGCTAGAGCCAAACTAGTTGCCACAATGTTAGAGTCCATGAGGTTGCACAACTTCTCTTTGCATATCAGCTTGAGCCTCTCAATGTTGTACCTGTCGGCTGCAACAAGTAGATGGCCAGCCATGACCCCGTCTCTTCCTGCTTCACCTCCATTACTCGTCTCAGGGAGCGAGTCCATGTATATGAAGTGGAGCAATAACTTGAACACCTCACTTTCCATATCACTAATTTCAATTGGGCCACCGACTTTCTCCTTCATGGTGCCAAAGAGCTCTGCTCTGAATACAGATGACCGAGCAGCTAGCAGAGACCTATGAGCGAAGAAACTCTCCCCCTTTACCTGAAAGGTCACGTCCGCTCCATCCTTGCTCCTCAGAAGTTCACCGAGATGCTGATGCAAGTTGGTTGGAGGAACTGTGACAAACCGACTACCTTTATGGATATACTTGAAGACAGTGACATCACACCTCATGCTGAAACAGTCGTCTCGTAGTTGCGATTTCTCAAGATCAGCCTTCGTGATAAAACTAGAGAAACCCCAATCTGAACCTTTCTTTGGGAAGATATGTTCAGAAGTCTTGCTTCGTGACTCCACTGGTTCCCCATCCTTGTCAAGCAGACAAAATCCAACTTTCGCCCTCACATCTTTGGCAAAAGAATCAAGAACGAGAAAAACAGATATGTGACCTGATTCAGTTTTTACGTTGGGACAGCCATTTGGGTAATACCTCACAACCCAGTCGTGACCTCCAACACTGAAAGGGACAGATTTCACGTACTTGGCATGCCTGATTTGCTCTTTGATTCTTGAGTATCCGTCTATCTTGATCACATATGAACTTTCCCCAGATGACTCTACAATGGCAGCTGGAAGATCGCAAGGCTCTGCCATTCTAATGGTGGGCTAGGCTGGGAGGATGGCGAGAGGTGCGAATTTGCCTCGTCTATATAGAACCGTGGGAAGTTGGATCGATCTGTTTCGAGTACACACGTCGGTCTAGATCTTCGCCTCGGCAAAGTTTGCTGCCATTTAAGAGTTTACCTTCACGAGGAGACGCCAGTGAATTGCAGTGCGCTGTCATCGTGGAATACGAAAGGAGAACGAGGTGGGTTTTAATTGGCTGATGAAAGGGTTGCATGTGCGATATGATTATTTAGTGCTGAACTGCTTCTTGACTACTCAAGACGAAAGAACCAACACATGTCACGTCGCTGTAAATTGACAGATAGTCCAAAAAAAAACGTTGAAAACTCAAAGCTTGGAGCAGATCCCTCAAAAACTGATTTTTAGGGGATTAAGCTTTTCTTCATCCAAAAGGGAACTTATTTTGCAAAAAAGATAAGATCAACTGTAAAAGTGAACCAGAAATATAAAGCATCTCAAACATAATAAAAATTATATCAAGATCTGAAGCCCACCGAATGACCAGTACTGTCGCCAGAACGAGCCGCTGATGCGCCGCTCACCTACCGGAGCCAGCTTGACCTTGTCGATGACAACCGAGAAGTCTTTGTGCACGTTCACATAAGGACCAACACCCTGGAGCCGCAGTCGTCGCCGTTGAACCCTTGCATATGACAAGAAACCCTAAATTCACCATCCCAAGTAGACGACATGAATTTAAAAAGGTACTTTTTGGGGATTAAGCTTTTCTTCATCTAGCAGATACCCAATTTTATTTTATTTTGCTAATTCATCCAACCATTTTCAAACTTATCACACCATATTAATACAGAACTTTAGAATTCAAGTCCGCTCAATTAAAATGTACTATTTTTAAACTTAAACCATTCAAATTCAAACACAACATATGTTCCAAATAAACTAAGAATCAAGTGTTATACCTCAACCAATTTGAGACGGGTGGCCACCAAGTTGAATTCATTTCTTCATCTTCTTCTTATTTCGACGATGAATCGTCAAAGACCATATCCCACAACATCTTCTCCTACGCATTGACGAGTTACATTGTCCATTTGAGACATTTATTAAAAAAACAAGAAAACATGCGGGAAAATCCATAGAGGCAATCTGACAAACACCTTTTGGGCGGACGGGGCAGACCACCGGCATCACGCGATGGAGCTCTAGATAGGGACGAATGGCGGCAGAGGACACCGACCACACTGGCTAGCAAGCCGCAAAGGTGGTTCCCATGCATGGAGGCGACGAACTCAGCCCACGCTAGGGATGTAGGGTGGCGGCGAGGGCGGTCGTCAACTTGGCTCGTTTCGACATTGTCGGTTGGCAAGGGTCTGCGCTTGAGCCTCCTGCACCATCTACACGGTCAGGTGGTTCGATTCCTGGCAAAGATGTGAAAAATGTGTTGGGCGCACATCTTGTGCTATGCTAGGGAAAACAAAAAACTTTTACCGCGCGAACCAGGGACATGTTGTTCAGATAGATCACGGTATTGGCTTTAGCCACCTGACGCGCAGTCATGACAACGAAAGTAAAGTTAGCGATGCATGTTACCGTCTCCTTGTGGATCACTCGAAATGTTTCTCGCGGTTCCCTCGAGTGGTTCATCCAAATGTCGAAGCTGCCACGCCTCCCATGTATTTACGCATGCAAGGAGAAATGTTGGGCAACCGACTACTAGGTTCGATCACACAACGTAGGCGTGGGAGTGGTGGCAGGTAGGTCGTGGAACTAGTCAAACAGTTTTATATACGTAGCTTTAAATGAGTGGCGGACATGGTGAGGAGCCCGTCACTGCTATTTTGGAAAAAGAGCAGTGGCGGGTAAAAATTCCGTGTATACCAGAGGGGACATCAAAAGTAGTTTTTCACCGCCGTAAGCTTTTGTTCTCGTGAGATCCCATCTTGAAGCCTTTTCCGACACTCCGTCGGAGGGGGATTCAATCACGGAGGATTTCTATATCAACCTTGTTACCCCTCCTATGATGTGTAAGTAGTTTACCACTGACCTATGGGTCCATAGCTATAGTAGCTAGATGACTTCTTCTCTCTCTTTAATCTTCAATACAATGTTCTCCTCAATGTTCTTGGAGATCTATTCTTTCTGTTGCAGTGCATTTGTTGAGATCCGATGAATTGTGGATTTATGATCAGATTATCTATGAATATTATTTGAGTCTTTTCCAAACTCTTTTATGCATGATTAAGATAGATTTGTATTTCTCTCCGATCTATTTATTTGGTTTGGCCAACTAGATTGATTTTTCTTGCAATGGGAGAGGTGATTTGTAGTGGGTTCAATCTTGCGGTGCTCATACCCAGTGACAGAAGGGGACATGCTATGTATTTGTATTGTTGCCATTAAGGATAAGAAGGTGGGTTTTATTCATATTGATTGGATCTATCCATCTACATCATGTCATCTTGCTTAAGACGTTACTCCGTTCTTGCTAACTTAATAACTAGATGCATGCTGGATAGCGGTCGATGTGTGGAGTAATAGTAGTAGATGCAGGCAGGAGTCGGTTTACATGTCCCTTTTTCGTGTTGGGTGCAAGTATTTATTTGTTTGTGTAGGTGCAATCATTGGGGACTTGTGTGTTCCTCCTACTGGATTGATACCTTGATTTCTGAACGGAGAGAAATATTTATCTCTACTTTGCTGCATCATCCTTTCCTCTTTAAGGGAAAAACCAACGCAAGCTCAAGAAGTAGGAATTATCTTAAGCTTCAGTTGCACACTTATACTAAAGAGAAGATTGTCTTCAAATTTGATGCATTGCCAAATCTCAAAGCAAAGTGATTAAGGGAGACCACCTTGGCGTACATATAAAGGCTATACTTGCGTTCAGAAATCAAGTGTCATAGATTGTTAGAAAAAGATTGAACTTGTTATGATTCTTGTCCATTGCCTATGATGTGGTACTGTCTGTGGAAAATTTATTGTTGTTTGTATGTCTTCTGTTGTAGGGCTGATGCAGAAACATATGAAACAGATAACATGACTTCATCTTTGTCGAGTACGGCACTCGGTAAAGCTTGTTTGCCGATAACAACTCTCGGCAAAGACTCCACATGTCCTCTGGAAGCGTGGTCAGCACTTTGCCGAGCGTAAACCCCAGGAACTGTCAGGACCGTATTTTCTGGATATTAATTTCCAGAAAATGGCCCTTGTGCTCACCAGCCCCAGGATTACTGTTAGCTGATGAGGCACCAACTTGATACATAAATTCCAAGCAAAATACAAAATATGTAGTACAAGACCATTCTGGCCAGTACAACAAATGGTTTCTAGTGGTTGATGGCGAAAGCGGTTTGTGGATCGTCAGCGTTATGGGACTCCATTTCCCACAGGAACAACTGACCAGGTTAACTCCTATCTTTGTGAGGCTGCTATCACCGTTGCTTAGTTTCCGGGGCTGTCATCGCAACGCTCCTCTCCATGCAAGAAATCTGGCCAAGACAATAGCCAGGGACAAGCTAGTGAGTACTTTAAATGTACTCGCAAACATTATGAACACGGGTATAATATAACAAATGATAATCATGCTCTGAAATGTTCTATGATCATAATGTTAGTCATAAAAAATAAAATTCCTGATGCATGCAAGCAGGTTATTTATGTGTGACATGGATATGTAATAACAGAGTAGTAATAAAAAGCACCGATCGGATGTCTGAAGCGACGTCTCGAAAGGATAGTAAATAACGAGCATGCCTCAGTCGGGCGTCTGAGCGACACCACATAAAGGGCTCATAAGGTAAATAAATAACAGCATGCCACAATCGGGCGTCTGAGCGACACCACATAAAGGGCTTATAAAGTAAATGAATAACAAGCATGCCACAGTCGGGCGTCTGAGCGACACCACATAAAGGGCTTATAAAGTAAATAAATAACAAGCATGCCACAGTCGGGCGTCTGTGCGATACCACATAAAGGGCTTATAAAGTAAATAAATAACAGTGAATATCCAGGAGGTAGAACCGTTCCAGGGATACTCAATACTTCAAATAATATAACGGGGGTTAGTCCATAATAATAATAATCATAATCACCATAATCAACACAAGTCACAAGTCATGATCCATGTTCTGGTTTAGCAGTCTCTCCTCCGAAGACCGACACTAAGACCGACACTTGATCCAACCTAGACTGTGGTCCTTAACCATGGACACGGCTATTCGAATAGATTTAACCTCTGCAGAGGGTGTACTCTTTACCCACGAGTAACGGATTCCTTTAGTCCATCGGGACTAATTCCGTCTACGGTCTTTTAATTGAAAAAACACCTGACTTGCACACACCAGCTTAACTTACCGGTGTCTGGAATCACC